CAACTTAGGCGCAGAATACGCTAAGCTTGTTTTGGATAGGCCAATATAGGTTTAGAAATATGCAGTATGTTAAGGCGTTTGCTATGCCTCCCATTGTATTTAAATAATCGGCCAAAGCAACACGGAGAATTTTTAGATATGATTTTGTGAATAAGTTTAGCTTTGTTGAATAGTAGGAGCGGTAAAAGCGAAAAGTTCTTTTAAAGGTACGAACAGTTCGTTCCATAACTATTAGTTATTAAACGTAGAGCCCTTTTTTTTTTGGGGGGGGGGGGGGGGGGGGCGCTTTCAGTCGTTTGATGACTGAATCTGCACATGCATCCCACATTGTGGAGCAATAGTCTATGATGGTCTAAATGTGATAAGAATAGAATAATTTTCTAGTGTTTGCATCCTTAGGTTTTTTTTTTTATTTTTTTTTTTTTATTTTTATTTTTTTATTTTTAGTAAACTAGTTTTAGCTGTTCGTTTAACAAGTGCTTGTACGTAGGAGTTGAAAGTAAGATTTCCATCGATGATCTAAATGGTACTACGCCGAAGTAACCTATGTTCATTCTGTTATTTTTACAAAACTGTATTTAAAAGTCTACTGTTCCTTTACAATATGCCAAGGAACGCCTGTGAATTCCCAATCCAAATAAGCCAACATAAAGTATTACTTTTATTACCTAAATTTCGTTTGCTACCAAGTGTTCAAATGCTATTTTATCCAAACATGGATTTAACACATGTGACTGGCGGAGTGCCAGTAAGCTGACACTAACGTAGGCCTATCAGCACTTATCTTCCCTGTGTGGGTTCCGGGTCCCCATTGTGGGGAAAACAAGAATAGACCCACTGCCTACCCAAAAGCATGTTGTAAGAGTCGACTAACTGGGGAGCTTCCTTTGAAGTCGGAGTGTGTCTGCCTGAGAGGCAAGGACCAACAGTCTGCATTCAAGTGAATCAGATCTGTAAAACTGATGCACACGCAACACTCAGGTTCTGGATCAGGACTGCAGTCCAGAAGTGGACGAACAACCAGAACTTTCCGCCAGAGTGTACAGCTGGTAAACGCGAAGAAGAAGAAGCACTTAGCGACTTTGGCATAGTGCCAATTAGCACAGGTGATATTGGGTTAGTGCCAAATAACACAATGGTAATTTTTACATAATGCTAATTATCACTTAGGTGACTTTGGCGTGCTGCCAGGTAGCACTTAGGTGACCTTGGTGTGGTGCCAGTTAGCACAAATGACTTTTGCATAGTGTCAATTAGCACTTAGGTGACTTCGAATTGGTGCCAATTATCACTTAGGTAACTGGTGTCGTGTCTGTTAGTACTTAGGTGACTCTGGCGTGGTGCCAATGAGCACTTAGGTTACATTGACACAGTCCAATTAACACTTAGGCACCATTAGTTTAGTGCAGATCAGCACTAAAGTAATTTTGGCTTGGTGCCAGTTAGCACTTAGGTGACATTGGGTTAGTCCAATTAGTACTTGGGTATTTTTTCTATTGCGCAAAATAGCAGTTAAGTGACGTTGGCGTTTTGCCAATTAGCACTTAGGTAACTGGCGTAGTGCCAATTAGCAGTTAGTGACTTTGGCATAGTGCCATTTAGTACTTAGATACATTTGGCTTGATGCCAGTTAGCGCCTAAATGACTGGCATAGTGCTAATTAGCACTTATGTGACTTTGGCAAAGTGCCACTTAGCACTAAGGTGACGCGTAGTACCAATTAGCATTTATGCGACTTTTGCCTAATGTCAGAACAGTTGCGTTTGAAGTAGTGTCAGTCAGCCCCAAGGTGACATGCGTAGTGCCAATTAACACTTAGGAGGTTTTGGCCGAATGTCAAATAGTGCTTAGGTGATTTTGGCAGACTGCCAGTTAATACGTCAGTGATCTTAGCGGTGCCAGTTAGCACCAAGTTGACTCTGCAAAGTTAGTTGTAATCTAGTCTAAGTGGAACAGCATGAAGAACAAAAACCGGCAATCTTTTGAATAGTTAGTTGCGTATCCTTTACAGGAGGTTGCAGAACCAACCCTAACAGCCCCTGGCTGTTGCGTGGTTTCTCTAGGCAATTTACATCCAGTAGTTTGATCTTTTGAATAACGGTCCCAAATTATAGAGACCGAAAATATACCATCACAGGGCCTCAGTTACATGTAAATTGCCGACTTCCGGTGACTTAAACTGCGCACTTCCGGCGTATACCGCCACTGCCGAGATTAGGGCTAAACTAGATTGCTGGGACTCACGAGCAGCAGCTACCGCATCTCCTGCAGAGTCCTTTATTTTATTTGCTCGAGTCCCAGCAATCTAGATACTTTCGGCGGTGGCGGAAATCCGCAATTTACATGTGACTGAGGCACTGTTCGGGTATATTTTCAGCCTCGATAATTTAGGACCGTTATTCGGAAGATGGTCGGCTCTGTGGCTAAGTCAATGCGAACGCTTCGCTTCGTAATGCCGTGATGCCGGGTTCGATCCCAACTGCGGGCAATGCGCCTTGCGTTTGTTTCGACAGTGGTATTAAGAAAGCCGACCGTTAAGAAGCAATGGCAAACTACTGGACGTAAATTTGCCTAGAGAAACTACACAACAGCCAGTGGCTGTTAGGGTTGGTTCTACAACGCCCTGTAAAGGATACGCAACAACCTATTCGGAAGATAGCCCAAAAGCCAATATTATTACAGGACACAGAATGACTCTTTTGCAATACCCAAAGTAGTTGTGTGCGAAATCACTCGGAACTGTAAATAGTTAATAAAGCCAGGACTTTTTAAGACAGGTTGGGAATGTAAACATTTGAGCCACTTAAAAGTTGTAACTTTGATCAGTAGCTTTCAGTCAGTCTAACTGTGTGGACCTGTGTTTATGTGCTGACCACGTAATGGTTGTACTTCGTGAGAGTCAACACCTGCTACCAAGGCTTTCCATGTTGTTGTGTGCTGGCCACAGAAATAGTGAGTCTACTCCGAGTACCAGACCAAACTAAGTTTATGATGTGCTGCCTGCTGGGGCTAGACGTTCTTGGTGGGAGTCGACTCTAGGCTGTTGACCTAAGCTGTCCATGTGGGTCATTTAATGACCATGCTGCTGTGTTTAAGTATGCTGACCATGCTGCTGTTGGGGAGTGGTCTGTTCCAGTTGCCTGATCTGACCTGTCATGTTGTATTTATCTGGAGGCTTCTACAGTGTTCCGACTAGGTCGTGGAAATCGGCAGCAAGTTGGCATCAGACAGTGCATGCGATGCTGAACTCCATTATTGACATTTGTGTTTACTGAGTTGTCAGTGTGTTTAAGTCATATGAAGTTTAATGACTAATCATGTTGACTAAATGTTATGGTCTTGTACATTCTTCATTTATGAGACTAGGCAGTTGACAAAAGATTAGTTGCAAAGATTGCAGTGAGGGAGCAACAGCCGAGGTCCTGTCTTGAGCAAACAGTCAGGTTATGAGGCCTGTTGCCTGGTAAACTGTTGTGGGCAAAATCACTCGGGATTCTAAAGAGTTAATGAAGCCAGGACTTTGTATGATAGGTTGGGAATGTAAACATGTGAGCCTCTTAAAGGTTGTGAAACAGAGGTTGCATGATATTGCAGCCTCCCCGAGTTGTGTGGGGAATGTGAGCTCCACGTTTAACTGACGGCTGCTCGCGGGAGTGCGACGTACTTAGATCAGTAGCTTTCAGTCAGTCTAACCGTGTGGACCTGTGTTTGACATTTATGTCAAGTGGATGCATGGATTATGTGTGACAGTTTTAACATTATGGTTTTGTGGTTTTATTCTGTGAAGCTCCTATGAACTGTCGGGATGATTGTGGTTAACCATGAGTATGACTAGAATTCTGTCAATACGATTTCTAGAACGGACTTGTGTCAGCCAAGTGTGCGAGGTCGGCATGTCTGTGACTATGTAGCACGCTGGTTGGGGTTCCTTCAGTGCATAGAAGGTTCTGGGCAACTTTATGTATGTTGCTCAGTGTGGAATTATGATGGGTATCTGAGGCTGAATAACGGGATGTTACTCAGTGATACTTTTTTGAGTGTCTGGGCAGCAGACGGGAAGTATGGATTCATTTTACCAAATGGTGAATCTATCTTGAGTCCTAGAGGGCGGAGTCGTTCAGAGGACGAACCGTCAGAGAACTGTCACTGCATTTTACATAGGTTTATCTGCGCGAACGTGTGTGAGTTGCCCGTATCAGGCAGCTGGTACATAGTTCTCTGGGGTATTTTGTCCATGTCTGGAGAGACTCGATGTGATTGTACTTGGCAGGTAGTAGTAAACTTAACAGTGAGTCATCGACCACCAATTCATCTTCGTAGCAATGTGATCTTCCATAATAAAGAAACTGATCGCACTATAAAATCATACTTGGCGTAGTGTATTATTTTACAGTACTCGTAGGCAATGTTAGTGGTTACACACTTTAGGAAGATTCAAGCAACATAAGGCACCCTTTCCTAGAACATTTGTAAGGAGCTCCCACCTCTAATGTATTTTATATGCCTGCCTCTGTGACAAGAAAAACAAGCTTTTACTACAGTAAAACCTCGTTAACACAAATCTGCTTGGGAAGAGCTCTCGGTACGCATGAAAAAAATGTTGGTCCTGTCAATATTAGTTACCGGTTAACATGATTTTTTTTTTTCGGGGACGAGGGGGGGGGGGGGGGGGGGGGGGGGGGGGGGAGGGTGTTTAGAGAGAGACACAAATACTGCTTCGATTTTACTTTCAACGAAGTTTCAATGTATTATGTTTTTATATTTCGACTCAACATCGTAAAGAATATCACGACACCAAAGAGACACGTTTCTGAAAACCATGTATTCGTACCGTAGTCTATTTTTACATCTCACAATATTAAACTACAACTCGGCAACATGCAGCAACACCCTGGACTCCGTTCTCTCCACCAAATCTCGGGAATCCATTGATAGCAACACAGGTGTCTACTCCATTGATTGCTGCAATGGAAATAAATCGTATAAACACTGAATTTTTCATATCTAGCAAGTAAAGTAAAGCAATTAACTATTTTAAAGCCACTGGCTGATTAATCAATGGATTAGGGATAGATGTTAGACATTTTTGTAAAGATCAATCGGCACTCACATCTTAGTACCATGGCAACTAGCTTGAGTCATCACAACAAACTTAGTAAATCTACAGACGATTGATAACATTTAGAGACTATTTCCCGAATTATTTCAGTAACTTTGTAAACGTTATGCTGTAAGAAGACTTGACCTTTTTGGCACTATACGGTAATGATTAACTCCCCCTCCCCTTTCCCCCCTTTTCCCGCTGTATTCTATACAATGGCCATCTAGATCATTCTTTTCGAGAAAACCAAGGAAGAAGAAACTACAGAGATAAACTGAATAATTGAGAACTGAAAAAAATTCAGAATATATATTTCATTCGTGATCAAAGATAAATTATTAGTACAAAATAAAATACATTCTTACTATAATACATTGAATATGGCACCAGAAATAGTGATTTTGATATTAACGAAACTTCATGAAAAAGCTCTTAAGTATCAACATTTCTCAGAATTCGTAACGCGTTCTACCGGTTTATTGCGTACTTGTAAATTACGGCATTCGGCAGTACAGTTACGGATTTATTACCTTCAATAAACGCTCCAGCACCTCTTCCATTTGGCGCATGCACATTGCACCCTGTCAGTGTGAAAGAATATTCAGAAGGACAAGTCAGTAGTGCTCGATCCCCAACATTAGGACCACTGAATTCAGAATACATGGTGATACAGTGCAGGGATGGAGTCGCCTGGCAGCAGGAAGCAAAGCCATAGACACCTGTTGAAGGAGATAGCAATATGTGTATCTAGTTGATATATGTGGAAAAAAAATGCAACGCTGAAATTCAATCTACTTTTACTTCTTCACTCTTTTTTTTAACCCCTTCCTCTTTAATGTGAAGTGAGTGCATCATGTTTAGATATGCAGCTCTCAAGATCATTTTTTTTTCAGCACCGTGTTTCTCTGGACTTAAACCTGAACAACTGACACTCGGTAATTTAAAGAGCTCCCACGGAAGAAGCATTCAGCGAGCTGATATCGTTAACGCTGTACGGACTAGGCTAGTGGATAATGTCGAGTCTCTGACAGTAACACGATTGAGTGACCTGGAATAAAGCACGGTTAATCACATCAATGCCGTCTTCGAGGGACGTTCTTGTAAATTTGTACTTATGGACAATTCCAATAGGCCTGACAGTATCTCACCCCCCCCCCCCCCTTTCCAATATATTTATTCCTCGGTAGAGCATAGACTATAAGCCAACTCCTGATAAACCCTCCTATCTATGGCAGACGTATAGCTCTCCATTTTTGATGAATCTATAGCTCTGATTCTCTTCTTCGCGTGATTTAGGTCTATCTTTTGTGCGCCATGAGCACCAGAAACACCCATTACCTCTACCATCCCCACACTGGATTGCAGGCTAAGTTGTAACCATTCGGTTGTACTGTTAAACAGGTTTCCCGTACTTTACTAGCGTCTGATTCTCATCCTTGAGTTGTTAATCCTGTAGATAGCAGTCTTGGAGAGGAACAATAAAAACTGCCATCAGTACCATTGAAAGGACTTTCTTGTTATCAGTAACAGGTTTTCTCAGTGTGTCCTACCTAACACCAGCGATTATATAACGAATTCTTGATTTGTCCTCTCTAAAGTCTATGGCCATAGTTATCCGCGGGTGTATTTTCCGCTGAGTTTTAGAATGAGAGACTCATACACTTTAGTTTTTGAACTGGCGTGTAAATGTTAAATCATACTCCTCAATAGTGTGCTCACACTGTCACTCCTATGAGCCATTCCTTATCAACATGTTAAATAGACTCGACCCAATATGGGAGGCTATTTTTAATTTTTTTTTTTTTTATTATAAAGCACCATCTCAGCTGTAGTCGGTGGCATAAATATAACCTAACGGTTGATCGGGGTTTCTGAGACGTACCTGGGTGATTCTCATCCGAATAGTGGCACTTTTGTTACAGGGTGTTTATCGTTAGTTGTTAAGTCCTGGTTGAATGCTACTTAAAAAAGCACTTTGGTTTGTCAAAATTTCGAGTCATGCACAGAAAGAGAAATGAAAGCCGATAATAAAAACATACAAGGAATGAGTTTCACTTCTGTAAGAAAACTACACCCCAAGTGTTTATACATAAAATTATTAGACGTCAGTCGTTAGTCAAATACCCAACTTCACGGCAGACGGGTCTCCCAGTAACTGCTCATTTCCCGTGCCAGTGGAAATCACGCAAAATGTCATTTAGTGTCGCATTTTAACACTAATGAAAAACGTATCAGACCCCACACTCTTGAGGCTCAAGGCACAAATAGATTATTTGGCGGAGGCACAAATAGATCATTGGCGGATGCACAAATAGATCATTTGGCGGAGGTGCAAATAGATCATTTGGCGTAGGCACAAATAGATCATTTGGCGGAGGCACAAATAGATCATTCAGCGGAGGTACAAATAGATCATTACGGTCTGAGGAGAATTGCGCTGCGGCGAAGTGCTAGGGGATGTGGCTGACGCTTAACACTCAAGGGGATGAGGATGTATAATCAGACAGTTACTGTTACCATCGAAATTGGAACTCTTCGTTTCCTGCTGAAGATAGGGACGGATCGCTCATTTGAGTGTCCCAGATGATGTTATGTCAATTCTTAATTTAACATTCGACATTTATGTTTCATATGACAACAGGTTACACCAGGATGGCGTAACCATTACGATTCCAGCAATTATATTTTCTTTAGATGATGAAAAGGGTATTTAGAATCTGCCCTGTTGGTCTGTTTCTGTGAATGTTCTAAATCCCAAGTGGTAAACCTTCAATAACACATCGAAGGGGACAAACCGATCGATGGATCTAAAATACTTACCAACAACAGTGTCATCATTTTGTCCTACACAGAAGGAACTTGTGAAAATTGTACCAGCGGACTCAGCTTCAAATGTCCATGTACCGCAACCTAAAGAGGTTAGAGAGGGGAAAAAATGTGTATACCAATACTGCTGGTCAACAGATAAAAGTTATTGCACATTGGTCCATCCTATAGGTGCTCGAATTCTTCCTAATTTGCACACACACATACCCACACACACACACACACACACACACACACACACACACACACGCACGCGAGAGCTCAAATCAACCCTCGCTGTGAAGAGATTGACTACACAAGTTCTGCGTGTAACGATTATGATTGCAGTTAATAGTGACATTGCGTTCTGAAACATGTGTAACATCCAATCTAAATATAGCATTAGTTATCTCCGTAGGACTGTGGTAAGTTACCTTGAGGCGCAGACTTATGAAGAAACTTACTGGCCAAGTTGGGGTGCAGATTCCAACAAAGTACGACAAGTACACGCATGGAATGTACGACCAAACTGGAGTACGGCACAGTAGCATACTCCACTGCAACCCAATTAAATCTAAACAAACTGGATAAAATACAGAAAACTGGACTAAGAATCATCAATTGCGGTGTGAAAAGCACACCCGTCAATGAGCTCGAGGCAAGTTCTGCCCCCCGTAGTTTCAGCCATCAAAAGGTAGAAAATGTGCTTACCCTAACAGAAAAATAAAAACGCCTGAACAACTACCTTATGTATAGAATAGCAAACCACTTAACTAAAAAAGAAATATGACCATGAAACATTCACCATCTATAAATATTGTTCGGCGCCACGCAAAAAAGTGACATCTTTTCTAAAGACTTAACAACATGGAAAACGATCAATTTATACAAGATAGACCTACAGTCTAACCATACAACCACAACAATAATCCCAGCAGGGACAGTAACTTTGAAGAATGTGAACTAGTAATGCATGCAAAGACCCTACAACTCTTACCCAACTCCTGAAAGTACACACGTATACACCGATGAATCACTGGAGGGAGCAGAACAAATCAGAGGAGCTGGTTCAGTCATCATGCTGCAAGATGGTACCACAATGAAAACTTAATGTGTCTCCGGGAAACTCTTAACAAACTTCAGAGCAAAGCAGCAAGCCACCAAAGTGTTTGGGGAAATAAAAATTAAAAACAGCAACTTTGTTTTCCCTTGTGACTGCATGCCAGTCCTCTGGGTAACACAAAGGGATATATGAGACAATCTGGAACTAGAATTGACCTGCTAGCTAAACAGACTTTCAGAAAACTATTAAATGGTTCTTCAGTGGATCCAGGCTCACTGAGTCTTACTTGGAAATGAGTCAGCTGACAGACTCACAGAAACTGGAACAATGGAGAAACGAAACACCCATTCATTGTCATTTTCCAAATCAAAACACTTATCATGGGAAAATACAAAGAAATATAGGGAACAAGACACTGCAGGCTCAACTACCACATGCATAGAATAAAGATTGTACAGTCCCCACAATGTACATGTCAGACTGGAGCACAAACACCTGAACATATTCTGCAGACCTGTCCACTTACCTACAACTTCGAAAAGAAACCTGGCCTCAAGAGCTAAGTGGGCAGAACAAGTTATGGGCAACAATAAACGACCTGCGACTGACATGCGAGTTCATAGAGACAACCCACCTGATGGTCTGACCTAAACATACGAAACCGAACCCAGAAAAGAAAAAGTGGCAAAATGCCCAATTCTTAAATGCTGTATTTATATGGGAATTGATACAAACGAAATAAAAGACATTGAACGAAGCTGATCACGCCATTCTTTTATGTCGTTATTCAGAACGTACGAAGCCCAATACCATACCCCCTTACCTTAGTCTCTGTCATCTAGCTAAAAGTTGCGAACGTTGTCTGCAACCGATTTGCCAGCTGACATTTTTGCTTTGATTTCGACAATGCAATGGAGAGCCGACCTTATACTGTAGTGGCAAACTATCGAACGATAAATGTCCCAGTAAAACCACAAGCGAATAACAAATACAGGCGTTGGTTTGCAACGGTTTCTAAAGAAAGTGCAAGTAACTTTTGAATATCTATAATTCTGTTCTCATTGATGTCTTTCTTGCGACAATCAAAGGTGTCAGAAAATACTTTATTGTATGTGTACCGCTAATTGTTTCCAACGAGGGTTTTCATGGACTGAGGAGCTGAGATTGCTGTCCAAAGTAGTCGTCACGCTTTGCCCAGGCGTAACGTGAATTTATATTTTATTTAAACAAAAGAAACTACTGCACGTAGTCAGAAAACCCACACAACAGCCAGGAGCTGTTGGGGTTGGTTCTGCAACGTCCTGTTTGTTTGTTTGTTTTGTTTTAGTATCCAGAAGCCATGAGTTGTTAACCCTTAGGCTCGGTATTATGGATATCGCAACCTTTCGGCCTTGATTCCATTGTAAATAACGTAAATCTGGGAGAAAATGTGGCTTTCTTGCCTACCCCCGGGATTGAGCCCGGACCACAAGGAGTTCGTCACCTGGTCTCCGCGCAATCCGGTTTAGCCAACTGCGCTAGAAAGCCGGGCTGCAACGTCCTGTAAAGGATACGCAACTAACCTTTAGATAAAAGAAAACGCAGAAATTTCTCAGAGGGAAAAAAAACACACGCCGTTGTGAGAGCTGGGCATATTACCAATCCAGCATCTTTCTTCAGTGGCATCAAACATTTGCTGCATTTTAATTTAATTTATTGGATAGACTCTCACCAAGTGGATATTCAGAATCTGCGCAGGGAATGATGACCTCATCCCTTTCTCCGGTGCCTGATGGGCCGGCAGTTCTGTATCGGCATTGAAGAGTTCTGAGACTGCAGCATCGTGCTTCTGCTTGGACACCTGGTTTACGGTAGGAATCATTGGAAAATAAGACGGTTGTAAAATTAATTATCAGTTTGCAGTGTGTTGCAAGAATGTTGCTGAAGTCCTTCTAATTACAACTTACTCCAAAGTCATTGATTCTCTCGATATTTATATTTCCCATGCCTCTTCCCAAACAACGCGCCTTTAATATATAATGTGCAGCGTGCTTTTGGTAACTAATGTCGAGTCTTCTGTGAATCCTGATTTTATTACTGCTGTTTTTCAAACCATTGAGATATTTTATTTGTCTATAACAAGCTGCTGTTTTAGGTAATATTTTTTTTTTATTATTATTTATTTACCCTATGCCACGAATTGGTTTTGTTAATATTTTTAATTACAACCCTTTAAATTTTTTTTTATATGCTCACAATGGTTATTCAAACAGCCTTCATTGATTTCATCCACATACTGATTTTTAAAAATTCTAAATTACTGAGACTGCAAAAGGAATAGCTTTCCTTTTGCCCATTAACCACAGTCTATAATGTGCTAACACTAAGCCAGCATGTGTGCGGCGACGAGCTCTTTACCTTATCTTGTATTCTGCAGCCAAAATACAAACTGTACGCCTTCTTGATCACTTTAGCTATATTTCGTTTTTGTGTGATTACAAATGTAACCTCACCGCATATATAACAGAGCTTATTTACCATATTCACACATGGCGTAGGCATTTTAACTACAATATTTTGTATAAGGATAATTGCACTAACTAATGGCAAAATGTATCAGAGATAATATATTTATACACAAAGCTAATGTAATCATAAGTAGGGCGGCATCATCAACTTCTATTTACGTTATTATTGGTCACAAGAAAAACAATAATGCAGTCGAACGTAAATGTTGGGTTTTACATACGAACTGAACGTAATTAAATAAACTAGTCACATATATCTTGAAAACTAGAGACATTCACTTTTTTCAAAATTCACTTTCGTTTCCAGCACACCATAATTAGTGAGTATTAGCTATTTTCATTACTGTAACGATTTGCTTGTTGACTAGTGATATCAGGGGCGTCGACACAAGGCAAACATTTAGAGAAGCTTGGCGTCCCTTTTAAATGTTCAAGGGGTGGTAGAGTCAAGGTGCATAAGTCATGATTAAGTGCGCAGTTATTATTATTGCTACGTGATTATTTACAAATAATTATAATAATAATGTATTAGAATTATTGAAAAATCAGTCAACACATATTTTAAACGAAAACTTCTATACATAGCTCCCCCCCCCCCTCCCCCCTTTCCAATTCAAGGCGACTGAGTATCCAGGTTCCAGAATCCCTGATTGACACCGAACTCGAATCTACTGGTAAGAGAAGAAACCGACACGGTCGTGTGTCCAACCTTCGAGCCCTGTTGCTCCTCTACACCAGTGGTCTCAAACCATTGTCCATGTCACGTCTTCATTGAGTATACGACAAGTCCCCCGCCCACCCCCCTTCCCCGATTAAATTGCAATACCCCATTAATCACTTATGTATACTGCAAGACAACCCTCCCCCTCCCCCAACATTCGCTTTGAGTATATGCAAGATCAACACGCCCCTTCACATTCCCCCTTTTTTCTACAAATAGTCTACTGTTAGTACAAATTCATGGCTAATTGTAAATTATCATTCATTTGTCCTATTTGTAAGTTCTAGTATTCTCACACTACGCTCATTCATTTCTCCTATTTGTAAATTCTAGTATTCTCACACAACGCTCATTAATTTCTCCTATTTGTAAATACTAGTATTCTCACACAACGCTCATTCATTTCTCCTATTTGTAAATTCTAGTATTATCACACTACGCTCATTCATTTCTCCCATTTGTAAATTGTATTTTCATACTACGCTCATTTATTTCTCCTATTTGTAAATTCTAGTACTCTCACACTACGCTCATTCATTTCTCCTATTTGTAAATTCTAGTAATCTTACACTACGCTCATTCATTTCTCCTATTTGTAAATTCTAGTAATCTCACACTACGCTCATTCATTTCTCCTATTTGTAAATTCTAGTAATCTCACACTACGCTCATTCATTTCTCCTATTTGTAAATTCTAGTAATCTCACACTACGCTCATTAATTTCTCCTTTTCCTATTTGTCCAATTTTAGCTTTCAGATACCATGTTTCTGCTGTATTTATTTATTTTTTCTTACTTTATTCAGTTAGAACAATCATTTGAATGATCTTACTTTATGTTTCTATTCTTTATATACTCAAAGATATAAACTCTTGCACAATATGATATAGGAGGGTTTAATACTGAGCCAAAACCTGTTTGGAACATAACATAAAATCATAATTATTCCAAATACACGAACAAAAGCAAAATGCAAAAATGCGTTGTTTTTGCGATTCAATATACCCACCTGCAGAGGAATAATATCCGTTGAATGCTGTGCAAACAGCCTTCCCATTTGAAAAAGTCACTTGTTCACCATCTCGTTGCCAGTCATTGTTCTGAAGATCGATTAGAAACCAAAAATATCCATTTAGTTCAAGTTACAGACTCGGCGATGGATAGATATATCGTGCTGGTCCTATAATTCTATAGCAGCTACCCTAGAGAAAGAGAGAGAGAGAGAGAGAGAGAGAGAGAGAGAGAGAGAGAGAGAGAGAGAGAGAGAGCGAAAGAGAGAGAGAGGGGGGGGGCATCATAGGATTGGTAACACAACTTGATTTTCAAGGTTTCAGAGCAATAATTGGCAGCAAGGTATGCATAAAGATTTCAAGATGGGTATATATGACGACGCTTACGGCAACCATAGGAGAAGAGAGTAAGGCTGATAAAACCTATTTTTAAAAAAAAAAGATGCTTATAAGGCTGACTTTAAAAAACTAACCAGTTACAAGCAAAGATTTTAAAATGTTCTTACAGTGGAAAAGCTGGAACACCCTGTAAGAACCTCTCCAGCGTTGCAACTGACGCTAGCTGTCTTTTCATCTCCTACTTCAGACACTGCTGATCTTCGAGAAACACACTGGAGCTGTTGAGACTGTGACGTGGACGTGCCGTGACCTATTGTCTGCAGGTTCAAGCTTGATGTAGCAAAGTCAACGTCTTGAGGTGCGAATGGATCAACAATTGGTGGCAGCTGAATTGCTATAAGGAACAGAGTGGAACATTTTACATAGGCTCTACTTCCAATTTAAAAATAAAGAAGATAGAAAATAAATACAGCCAATGTTTACCGTACACGCTCTCAAAAATCCAGTCACTTGTTTTCGATCCTGGGACAGTGTGTTCGACGGTGAAGAATGAGAGCTGAATGAATCTGCAAGAGAATGCCTGCTCAAGATTTCATTGCGAATTACGTGAAAACCTGGCCACACTGGCTGATGTTGTTTTGCTGTCCATGTGAGCAGTTGTAAACCGGAGGTGCGTTTGTGTAGGAAGTGTTGTGTTTCGTCATCGTACCAATCTACCGAGGACAATCCCCCCAGGACGTTCCGCTGCGTCCAGAGCCTAGTTTTTTTAGTGACCGTTTGTGCTCGTTTCCTTGCAAGACCAGCTGCTTAAGCACATTGTACGTGGAGCGTAAGTGGAGATAAAACTCTTGCGCCTACCTCGACAGCGAAGATTTTTACTGCGTACGCTTCATCTCTCCTCAGAGCGGCCAAGAGCTCACCGTACTTTTCTAGCATGAACAGGTAATTTTCTTTTATTCGCGACTCGTACGGCACAGACAACTCAATCAGGATCAGCTGGCGTTTTTCCAGAGTGCGAAACTCTGTCGGGTCTCAGGCCGGTCTCCCTGTTTAACTCTGGGTACCTTTCAAAACCAGGCAGGTCGACAACCAGTAACCAGTTTCCCGCACAGTCAAGTATTTATGATAAGCTAGACACTAGTTTCTGGTCAAAATGGACGCTAGGAAGGGGCACTGTTTAGAGCCAAGGCACATTTTTTGCTTCTGCCGGATGGTGGCCGATGCATTTTTGCTCCATTTGTAGACTGGATATAGTTTCGTCGTCCAGCTTCTGAATGCATGGCTTGACACTGTGAGCTGTGAATTTTATTTGGAATGTTTTTTTTACTGTGACCAACGTGGTGGTGTGAATTGTAGATTCAGAAAATAGCGCGATTCCTGTCGTCGCAATGTTGGTGGTGCCAGCATGTGATTAAAAATTATCGCGTGGGCAACTGCTGATCAGTTGGTGACTTCTGCTACCATCAATGATGATCTGCATTTCTAATGTCGGACTATTTGTTTTTTGTTGGCACAGGAGCGATGCAAAGATGGGGTGACCCGTTTTCTATGAAGCTGAAATTAAGACTACCAGACTACCAGACTACCAGACTACCAGACTACTTAAATCGTTCGTGGTTTGCTGCCCATGGCCAATCTTTAAGTAAAACTAGAAAAACAATGTTTTTTGAATGTTACACTTACTTCTCTGTCGGTAGCCATATACAGCTTAAACATTGTCTAAAAAACTACTTTACCCAACTTTCTGGGAACATTTATTTTTACTTTCATATAATGTTATATTTAGGTTGTTCTTATAAATTTTTCGGCTGATATTATCACAAAGTATGGGGTTTTTTTTTTTTTTTTACAGTTTCTTCGACATGTGACAAAGCATCTACTGTGTATAATGTTCTATTCAAAATATCTGTTTAAAAAATTTTCAATAGCAAGAGCATTCGTTCCATTTTGCAAATGTAGCTAAAAAATCATGAATTCGAAACAACTTTAAAATATGTAATGTGTTAGTCTGTATAGTGTTATTTGGGGCACCTGACATACTGCCACTGACAGCGAATTATGTCAGGCATTAGACTGTGCAATGTTTTCGCATCTTGATTGTTCAAACAATAAATTAACAAAATAAATTGCAACGTTCGCAATTCTTAGTGAATGCATACAACTTTTTTGGAACAGTCATAACGCTTCACTCAAGATGACTTGCAGAAATTAGACCACAAATCGACATGATAAAATTGACTTTGAGCAAGCTGCAAAAGATACTCACCATAAGAAAGATTTTCTTTGTTATGCAGAACTTGTGTTTTTACACGCATGTGAGAAATAAACAGTGGTCAGACAAGAGAAAAAATATATACTTGCAACAGAGATGGATTTTTGAGGAAAGTGCAGAGCATGTCATGGAAGAACAGAAACCAAAATGCAGCCTTCCTCAAAACAAATGACCTTGGCTCCCAGGTCGACCCAGCCTTGAGTGGGTACCGGGTGCGGTTAAGGGAAGTAGAGGCGGCCTGCGTGATGCTGACCACATCACCCGTTTTGTGCCGTTGGTCTATAAAATATAGGTCTATCTAAAGCCTAAAGCCTAAATCTATAGCCTAGAGGCGTGGAAAGGGGTCCTTTACTTTTTACTTTACTTATATATATATATATATATATATATATATATATATATATATATATATATATATATATATATATATATATATATATATAATGAGAAGGAATGGAATGGACTCCAGAACGTGGTAACATCTGGCAAGATTGGTGGAAAGTGAGGAACGGAAAAGAGGAACCGATAAATTCCTGGATAACTTGGCCACTTGGATGGGCTAGAAAAGAGGTACTCTGTGATTTTTACCTTATGGTAAGATGGCGATAAATGGTAGCCTGTGCTTATTGGTACTTCGCAAAATGATGAAATTATTTGGTTGAAAGCCTCGATGCGGTAGCTGCCAAATGTTTTGAGCCCAAATCTTCATCGAATCGAAAACAAAAGTAACAATAAAAACAAAGATCTTGTCTTTTACATCCCAAATCTGCTTGGTATAAAATGGATACCGTGTAAAGTCCCGTGAAGTAAAGAATGCAGTCGAGATGCTCTCATCACACATCAAGTGCCGGCTGGTCTACAATAATATACGTCTAACACCATAGACCACTGGCATGAAATTGGTCTTATACTTGTTTTCGTATTCAATGATTATTTAGTAACATCACTAACTTGTAGTTGAAGTCACGTCAATCGTGACGGTCCTGTCAGCCTTCCCCAGAGTGAATGTAGAACGCTGTACCGGCTTGCCCTTGTAATACACAACGGCAGTATAGTCTCCCTGAAAACCTCTTACAGTGAAAGAAGTGCCTGACGTCAGAGGTCGTGTCACGTGAGTGCTCCAATCCTGTTTGAGCAGACGCTGGTACCGCTTGCCAGCCTCATTTAGCTACAGAACAGAAACCAAAATAGAACGTTAATATAGTGATAGCTAGCCGTAGTGTAAGTAACTGGTTCCAGAACTTTCTAATCTCTGCTTTATTGTTGAATTCCTCTGACTACTTTTCAATTTGTGGCGTCGCTGTAAAGCATGGTGTGGCATGTTTCTGCTGCCTTCCAGGCCGAGATAGGAGATATTATAATCAACTCCTTATGTGAACAAACAGTAAAGGTACCATGGATTGCCTGTTGCATCAGAAGTATGTATTTCACTGAATACACACCAAATGGGAAAAGTGCTCTTCAAAGTATTATTTGAGACAAAATAAAACATGTATATATATATATATATATTATATAATATATATATGAGAGAAACCTACAATTTTTTTTTTTTTGCAGCTCTCAAAATGTGCTGCCCTGAAAATGTTGGCCACCTGCGCAGCAGCACATGTTGTACGGGCTAAAATACTGCCTTGGTTATTTAACTTTAAATACTTTTAAGCTCTTTTTATTAGCTGTATTACTCTGTATAATTGTTTTTTAACGTCTGCTTTATATACGGATTACTTTAAATACCTGTTATCTCTGCTTTGTGCACGGTGTACGTTGTACAACAATTAAAACTTCTTCTGTCCTTTTTCATGGCTGTTTTTCTTTGTCTACGCATAATTGCTACTTTGTACTTGTATTTACTATTAATTCATTCATTGTCCTATCGTATCAGTATATGTCCGTGGGAGTCTATAGTGTTACAAATATTATCAAAGCCTGTCCCTTGTCACTTTGAATGTAGGCGAATGTAAATGGTTCTATGAATGTAAGCGAATGTAAATGATTCCACATCCACATCAAAACACAATGTACATCCTACATAGTCACCACAACAGCGTCTCAAATACATTTTTAGCATTTAAACATAGTGATTAATATAGTGGAATGCAATAAAAGTACTGGTAGACAAATACTAAAATTACCCAAGACAATACAAGCATAAACACTGTTGTAAGGTCATTTACTGTAAGATGATTCGTGATTATATGTACTTCATATAGCTACAATGTGCACATAACATTGCCATTATAAAATTATGTTAGTCACTTCACAATGTACCATTCTCTTGCAGACCGTGATAATTTACTTCTGCCCTTGCACTGTTCACTCGCTAACAAAAGACTTTGACACCATTTACCTTGTGATGTATCAGTGTACCACCAAGCGGGGACGAACCAAATAATCTGTCTGGCTATTCGTTTCCCAAAACAACTGCACTCATATTGGAAAATTCCAAAGGACTTTTCAAGCGCAACTTGCTCACAAGAGATAATCAACAGTAGAGCAACAGAACACAAAATTGAGAACGTAAATACATCAATAAAAACAAGAACGGAGAAGGAAAAAAAAAGCCCTCACCGTGAATGAATAACCGTGCATTAGAGCATAATTTGGATGGATTTCGTGATCCCAGAAAGCTGCAATCGAGATCCCTTCTACAGACGGGTGACTGAAGAATAGTCTAATCACATCCTCGACCCTGAAAACATAGCACATTGCTACATAACGTAGACATTCATGGACATAGAGTGTCGTTGGCACAGACATTCTCGGACATAGACTGTCCCTGGCACAGACATTCTTGGACATGGACATTCATGTACCGACATATTAAACACCACCACCCCCCGCCCCTTTTTTTAAACCCCTGATCTCCCCCCCCCCCCCCCCCCCCCCCCCATTCAGGACATCACACAAACGATAAACACCTGATGACACAAAGGGCCACCATGCGGATAACGATCACCCGTGGTCCCAGAAACCGTGTTTAACCGTTAGGTTATACTACGGTCCCCAGCAAAAGCCACATGGGGTCGACTGTAGTTGTTGTTTTTAATACACTCAAATAGATATATATTCATGGACATAGATGTATATTAACCTAGTATTCATGGAATAGAAGTTACAACTGGACAGATATTCATGGACGCCGCTATTCACTTTGCGCGTGGAGGTTATATAAAATACATAGTAGCTGCCTGGGGCTGAGTTGTCTCGAGTTACGGTGTCCGCCTCGAGAGCTGGAGATCACAGGTACAAGCCCCGGTAAATGCTGGGATTTTTTTCACATGGACTTCAAGTACTTCTAGTAGAACTTCTATCTGTGCTTCTACGTGTGTAGTGTCGCGTATGTAAAAAAAAATCCCTTGGCAGATGGAGATCTGAAAGAGTAGCAAAACGGCGCTGCTCGGGCAAAATGTGGATTTAAAAGTCTACACAAAATTGTGATCTCAATAGTCAGTTCAACGCTCAGTAGCCACTGCTTTCTGGACAATCAGTTCTTGACCATCAGCTCTCGACATCACTGTCGACACCGACGCAAGGTGATCCTCTGTCATATCATTCGCACCCAGGATTGAATCTGGCACTTCAGAATTACGAAGCGCGTTCGCAATGCATCTAAGCCATATATATATATATATATGTGTGTGTGTGTGTGTGTGTGTGTGTGTGTGTGTGTGTGTGTGTGTGTGTGAATATATCAAGCTATACAATATCTAATTCTGCGAATCACATGGATTATCTTACTTTTAAACACCTTTGGTAGAACTCCTAACACTTTCTAATGTCGACAAAACAGAGCTCTAGTATAACTGTGAGTTATTATGTAAATATCATACCACAGTTTATTTGTCAAATAAATGAATATATTGTTAAACTAAAGTGTATGCGAAGATTGCTGACTATTTGATTGTCAATTTATACATTCTACAAAGATTAATTTGAAAAACTATGTTGTTCTGTGTAGCTTCTATTAAAATAACAAATCGCCTTTCTTTTTCAGACTAAATGTAACGTAAAAATAAAATAAATAATGTGGTGATTAATTCCACTAAGCATCTAGTGTCACTGACTGAGCTGCAAAATAAAATAACCTTCAGTGAAACGAAACAATTTATTGCCAGAGAAAACAACGAATAATTCATGAAGCAAATCTCACCAGTCTGCCTGGTTGTGAACATCGGTGGATCCTATATTTAACCCAGTTATCCATAGGGGAAGTCCTGTCGCTGCCAGCTTGTCTAGACGGCCCTATTAGGAGTTAGTTGTATTGTAGATGTGAATGTGATACTGGTGGTTGCCGATACTTTGTAAATGAAATATTTATTCAGTTCCAAAAAACGCTTTTTAGACAAAGAGGATTTCATGACAAAATTAATTCAGTTTAGGAAGTTGGGCTCCCGGGTATTAATAGCACCTCTGGTGTTGGGTGCCTGTCGTCGTTTTCAGGACAGTTCACCTGTCTTTTGGTGCAAGCCTGGCGTCAGGTTCTCACCTGTGGCTCATAGTGACTGCCAGAAGCGGCAATCTCCATCCCCGGGTTACGGCCTCGACAGGCCGGATAATCCAGGTGAAGATGACCGAATGGTTAGTAGCCTTCGGTGAGACAGACAGACAGACAGATATATAGACTGAGAGATAGATAGATAGAGAGATAGATAGATAAAGACAGATTAAACGAACGAACGAACGAACTTTATTTTCAAAGGGTCACAAATTGGGCAAGCCGGCCCGTCTTACATTCGGCCCTTCCAGTCAACCATCTTTTGCACAGCAGTTGTATTTTACTAAAAAAGCATGTTATGATCATATGATTATATGCATATTATGAATATAATAAAAGAACACAAAAGCATGAGTTGTAAAGTGCATGCAAAAACCCCCGCGTAAATACATACACACACATACACACGCTCACCCACTCACTTACACACACATACATGCATGCATACATTACAAACATACAGGCGTACATACATACACACACATACAACATGCATACAGGCATACACACATACACACAGGCATACATACATACACACAAACATACATACATAGATACAAACATACAGGCATACATACATACATACATACATATCATACATACCTACATACATACATACATACATACATACATACATACATACATACATACATACATACATACATACATACATACATACATATCATACATACAGCTACATTACATACATACATACATACTACATACATACCCATACATACATACATACATACATACATAACATACATACATACATACATACATACATACATACATACAATACATACATACATACATACATACATTACATAACATACATACATACATACATACATACATACATACATACATACATACATACATACATACATACATACATAACATACATACATACATACATTACATACATACATACATACATACATACATACATACATACATACATACATACATACATACATACATACATACATACATACATACATACATACATCAATACATACATACATACATACATACATACTACATACATACATACATACATACATACATACATACATACATACATACATACATACATACATACATACATACATACATACATACAGAACGCATATTTACATTCCTGCTCACATACTGACACACACACATACGCAGACGAACATGCAGACAAATACATAAAGCCACATAGACACACACGCAGTCAAACACACACACACAAATACAGACACACAGGCAGACAAACACATACTGACACCCACACCGACAAACACGCAGAAATGCATACACATACAAACACATAGAAATACACACGCAGACACATATATTCAACACGCACAGACACACATACAGACCAATTCACACTGAAACATACACGTAGACATACGCGCGAACACACACACACACATTCGCACACATTACCACAAGGACACAGG